TCAAAAAAAAAAAATTTTGCCTAAGCCCAGCAGGTCATGGCTGCGGTAGCTGTGAGTGTGCCACTGTGCTCCAGCTTGGGTGATAGAGAGTAAGACTACAACTAAAAAAAAAAAAAAAATTTCAGGCCAGGCTTGGTGGCTCAGCCTGTAATCCCAGCACTTTGGGAGGCCAAGGAGAGTGGATTGCCTGAGCCTGCGGGTTTGAGACCATCCCAGGCAACTTGGCGAGACCTCGTCTCTATAAAAAATCCAAAAAATTAGCCAGGCATGGTAGCACACGCCTGTAGTTCCAGCTACTTGGAAGGCTGAGGTGGAAGGACCACTGGAGCCCAGCAGGTCAATGCTGGGGTGGCCGTAAGTGTGTGTGCCACTGCATTTCAGCCTGGGCAATGCAGTGAGACTTCAACTCAAAAAAAAAAATTACAAGCTGGGCTCGGTGGTTCAGCCTGTAATCCCGTGCTTTGGGAGGCCGAGGTGAGTGGATTGCCTGAGCCCGCAGGTTCGCGACATGCCTGGGCAACTTGGTGAGACCTCATCTCTACAATAAATAAAAAAAATCAGCCGGGCGTGGTAGCGTGTGCCTGTATTCCAGCTACTCGGAAGGCTGAGGTGGAAGGATCGCCGGACCCCAGCAGGTTGAGGCTGCAGTGGCTGGGAGCGGCCACTGCACTCCAGTCTGGGCGACAGCGTAAGACTCCAACTCAAAAAAACAAAAAAAAAATTACAAACATATAGAAAGGATAAAGCAATTTTATAACAAATACGTATTTTCTATATTATTTACCACCTAGAGTCTCCTACTGACATACTATACTTCATGTATCTATCCATTTCCCCAGAAAGCATTTAAAAATATGCATTCTCTGAAGCATAAGAATTTCAGAAAAGAAAAAAAAATCTGCGTTTTATGTGAAGTTCCTATCTTACTGACTTATTTTCCTGTCTCAGTTAGTCTGTACCCATGGGACTGACAGGATATGTGTATAGTCAATCTCAGCCCCTAATCCAGTGACAGGACTGTGGCAGGTCTGTAGCCCCAGTTGCAGCCCCCCAATAACAACCCAATTCTCCCTGGCAGGTTACTCTCTGGTTGCCTGGCCCTGTTAGTGAGAAGCAGCACTATGATTGTGCTGCCCCTGCAGAGGCCAGGCTCCCTGTGACCAGATCACAGATGGAAAAAACAGGCTATTCTGGTGACATGAAAAACTCCAGGGAACCAGGATCAGCAGCCCCCTGAGTCAGAGAAAATGCTTCTGGTGGATAGCTTTTTCCCTGAGGATGGGAGGACAGGGAGAGCAGTGGTCACTAGAGCTAAAGCCTGACATCCCAGAGCCCAGCAACACACATTCTGACTCAGAAGTTTTAGGTGGCAAACCACTCAGCCAATCAGTGCCCAGATTTCCTGCTTGTTTTTTAATTTACCTAACACTGAAGTCATAGGGACCCACCTGATGGGGAATTCCACTACTGTGTCGAGCTTATCCCTCCAATATCTGTTGTAGGAGAACCGTTTGAGGTGGACCACCAGGATCTTGGGCAAGGACCACAGGTCAAACTTCTTTGTGGCCTGTTGATGCTTCTTACAGTTGGGACAGTACCTGAAAAGAAAAGAAGAACCTCCGCTTAGGAGGCAGGCAGCCATGCTACCTGGGCATTCACACATGAAGGCACAGTTGCAGCCCCACAACAGCTGCCATCCTCTCAGGCAGCACTCCACACTACTGCTTCCAAAACAGAGTGATGGCTTTCTTAGTTCGAAAGCTCAGCTCACACAGAGGACTATGTTGTGGGGTTGGCCACGTAAAAAAGTGGCACATCCAAATACAAAGGATTTTTGTATGCATAGATGCCCCTAGCAGATCTCAGAGTCTCGGGGCACATGGTGCCTCTGTCCAAAGTCAGGAGCTGCATACCAAGGGTCATGCTCCCCAAGAGTCTCCATAGTGGTGAAGAGCTCAATGCAGTCTCTCAGGGCTACAGCTGTCTTCTTCTTCTTCTGAGGCTGCAACATGCTCACATGCTTCTCATAGGCCTATGATAAACAAAAAGCTGAGTTCTGCTGGAGAAGTAGATCTTACCAGATCAAGACACAAAGGCCTACAGATGCTCTCCCACATGAAATATGTTATGCTTCTGGAGCCTCTAAACATAAAATGACAAAATCTTAAAGTACTTTACGTTCTGTCTTTTTTTTTTTTTTTAGAGACAAAGTCTTGCTCTGTTGCCTAGATTGGAGTGCATTGGCACAATCACATTTCACTGCAGTCTCGAACTTCTAGGCTCAAGAGATCTTCTTGCCTCATCCTCCTGAGTAGCTGGGACTACAGGCATGCACCACCATGCCTGGCTAATTTTGCTGTTGTTGTCAAGACAGGGTCTCACTATGTTGTTCAGGCTGGTCTTGAACTCCTGGGCTCAAGTGATTCTTCCACTTCAACCTCTCAAAGTGCTAGAATAAGAGGTATGAGCCACTGTGCCCGCCCATTATCAGTCTAAAACATAACTTGTTAACTTGCTGACCAACTGATGCCAGTGATCCCATTACTTGTCCAGAGCAGAAACCAGCACACACCACTGACCAAGAGCCTCAAGTGGACAGGGCATGGTGGCTCATGTCTGTAATTCCAGCACTTTGGGAGGCAGAGGCAAGAGAACTGCCTGATCTCAGGGGTTCAAGATTAGCCTGAGTAACATAGTGAGACCTCGTTTCTAAAATAAATAAAAAATTAGCTGGGCATGGTGGCGCACATGTGTAGTTCCAGCTACAAGGAAGGCTGAGGCAGAAGGACCACCTGAACCCAGCAGGTCGAGGCTGTGATGACCAAGAGCGTGCCACTGCACTCCAGCCTGGGCAACAGAGTGAGACTCTGATTAAAAAAAAAAAAAGAAAAAAAACAAGAATCCCAAGTGTCCTACCTCAGATTCCTGCTCATCATAGTAAAGGTTGCGAGTCTCACTGTCCCAATCGATGGCGAGTGTGGATCGAGCTGAGGAGGAGGACCAAAGTATCACTCACTATGGAATGGCCAGCAACAGGAGGGGCTCAGCAAGTGACAAGAATAAAAAAGGTCACACTGAAGCTTCACCGCCAACACCTGCTCACACAGCAGCCACTACATTAGCAATGCTCTGCCTTGGGCCAGCCCTTCTGAACCCCAGCCCCAAAAAGCTTTTGGCAAAGATTTCCTTAGTGCTCCAGGTAAGCTCCAAAGACCCTATGTAGAATTCTCCAAGGGCACAGGTCAAGGTGAAGTAGCAGGGCAAGATTTATCCTCTCATCTTAAACTACAAAAAAAACCTAACAAAATAGATGAAACAATTGTTTTCAGACATTCAATAGAGCAGGAAGGAGATCCCTGAGAGATGAAAGCAAAGTGCTCCCCCTACCACATCACCCCAGCTTACTGCCTGCAGGCAGTTTCCAGGCCTTAGCATGAGGGAAAAAGGGAGAAAGAGGGGAAATTGAGTTCAGGAGTCAAAGAACAGAGTTTGAGAAGGTAACTAGAATTTGTAAAGCATTATACTAGAGAGGAAGAAGACGCAGAAGATAAAGTTGCAGACATAGATCCAAAAATATCTCAATAAAGCTGTTATATTCTTTCAAAAATTAATATTGAAAAAAAGCAAAGGACAGCTAGTTAATTAGGTAGTTTTGCATTTTTCTCCAACTAAGGGAGCTGAAAGACATGAGATGCTTCTGTGACTTCCCCTTCTCACCCTCTGCCCCCACAAGGATACCATAACTGGCCAATCATGCTTTTCATACACAGCACACACACAGACTCGCTCCCCTCATGGCTGCCTCTTCCTGTCTGTACAGCAGGTCCAATTACAGCCTCCATGTGAAGGAGAGTCAACAAAACCCATGAGCATTCTCTGGATGGGTCACATTTTGTGAGTATTCTTTTTTTTTTTTTTTTTTGAGTTAAGAGTATCACTCTGTTGCCCAGGCTGAAGTGCAGTGGCACACTCACGGCCACTGCAGTCTCAACCTACTGGGTTCAGGCAATCCTTCTGCCTCACCCTTTCAAGTAGCTGGAACTACAGGCACATGCCACCATGGCCAGCTAATTTTTTGATTTATTGTAGAGACGAGGTCTCACCAAGTTGCCCAGGCTGGTCTCGAACCCCTGGGCTCAGGCAATCCTCTTGCCTCAGCCTCCCAAAGTGCTGGGTTTACAGGCTTCAGCCACTGTACCCAGCTGTGAGTATTCTTATAGAACAAAAGAAATATGTATTTATTCCCATAAGTGAAAAAGTTTAAGGAAATGCTGCTACCAAGGGTGGCCATAGAAAGTGTTATCGACCCAGAGCAAAGGTCCTGTAGAGTGGAAGAAAACCACCTTCCCTCTGAGGTCAAGGTCCAGGAAAAAAGCATGAGGGGGGAGGTCTCTGAAACAGTCTTTAGCAGGCTTCAAGTCAAGGATCAGACACAGGTCTACTCCTGGAGCCACACAGACACTGTGAAAGCACAATGCAGTGAGTGTGAAGTACAAGGATTTTCAATTAGATCCCCAAAGATAGATCCCCAAAGCCCAGCTTAAAAGTTCAGAGGAAGTGCTTACAGTTGAGTTTAAGTAGTTTTCCATCAGCTGCAAGTGAATTTATGTCAGCTGTCCCATAGGAGTTCACAAGACTGAAGGTAAAAAGCCTTTTTGGGTGAGGCTGGCCTTTGACCTTCTTTTGAGTGGTCTCACTGGGGTCACTTCCCAGCTCATCTTCCCCACTGCCTTCTGTTTCTGAAAGCTGCTCTTTGCCTTCTTCCTGATGCTCCATTTCTTCCTCATCTTCTCCTGGCAACAAATGAAACAATATGTATATAATCTGCCACCATTTCAACATTAAAAATTTTATTTAATACCTTTCTGTGAGCCGGGCTCAGTGGCTCAGCCTGTAATCCCGCGTTTTGGGAGGCTGAGGTGAGTGGATTGCCTGAGCCCCCGGGTTCGAGACCCGCCTGGGCAGGTGAGACCTCATCTCTACAATAAATCAAAAAATCAGCTGGGCATGGTAGCGCATGCCTATAATTCTGGCTACTTGGAAGGCTGAGGCAGAAGGATCGCCGGAGCCCAGCAGGTCGAGGCTGTGGTGGCCGGGAGCGGCCACTGCACTCCAGTCTGGGTGACAGAGTGAGACTCCAACTCAAAAAAAAAAAAAAAAAACCTTTCTGTGGTGTTTCCTTCTAGTTTTGTACTGTGTATGTAAAACTACATCAATCCCTCTGCATTTATGACGTACTTGAATTCATGTGTAACCCTCACCACAACCTTGCAAGACAGGCATAGTGGGCACTGCTAGACCATGATGAAGTAACGCAGGCTCAGAGAGGTTAAATGAGTCACTCACAGGCACAAAGAGATTTAGCAATCCTGTCAGTCCTACCTGGATCCCTCACCACTTGGTTGTTTATTGGATTCTACACCACACAGTCTCACTCTTTTGACTTTATCATTATATCCACAGAGAGAAAAGGACTAAAATGAGACACATACTCAACACTCAAGAAGATAGGGTGGGAGGATATGCAATCTAAAAGTTTATTTTCGAAGATTATAATAAACACAATTTTTTTTTTTTTTTTTTGAGTTGGAGTCTCACTTAGTCGCCCAGACTGGAGTTCAGTGTCCGCTCCCAGCCACCGCAGCCTCGATCTGCTGGGCTCCGGCGATCCTTCCGCCTCAGCCTTCCAAGTAGCTGGAACTACAGGTGCGTGCTACCACGCCCGGCTAGTTTTTAAAATTTTTTTTTTATTGTAGAGATGAGGTCTTGCCAAGTTGCCCAGGCGGGTCTCGAACCCACAGGCTCAGGCAATTCACTTACCTCGGCCTCCCAAGGCGTGGGATTACAGGCTGAGCCACCGAGCCCGGGCACAATTTTTTTTTTTTGAGTCAGAATCTTTCTGTCACCCAGGCTGGAGTGCAGTGGCACTCTCACGACCATTGCAGCCTTGACCTGCTGGGCTCAGGCGATCCTTCCTCCTCAGCTTTCCAAGTATCTGGAATGTAGCTTCCTTCCAAGTAGTGCCACCATGCCTGGCTAATTTTTTGATTTATTGTAGAGACGAGATCTTGCCAAGTTGCCCAGGCTAGTCTCGAACCCCTGGGGTCATGCAATCCTCTCGCCTCCGCCTCCCAAGTGCTGGGATTACAGGCGTGAGCGAGCCATAGCACCTCGCTTTGTTTTTTTGGTTTTTTTGAGTTGGAGTCTCACTCTGTCACCCAGACTGGAGTGTAGTAGCCACTACTGGCCACTGCAGCATCAACCTGTTGGGCTCGGGCAATTCTTTCGCCTCAACCTTCTAAGTAGCTGAAACTACAGGTGTGTGCTATCACACCCTGCTAATCTCTTTGATTTATTGTAGAGAAGAGGTCTCGAACTCACAGGCTCAGGCAATCCACTTACCTCAGCCTCGCAAAGTGCTTGGAATACAGGCTGAGCCACCGAGCCCAGCTAGCACCTCGCTTTGAACACAAATGTTAAATAAAAGTATCCTGTTTCTCCATAAAAAAATATGATAAATGCTCCTTCAAGTAGTATTTACTGGCCTGATGCAGTGTCTCATGCCTATAATGCTCCAGTAGTATAGGAAGTCAAGGAAGAAGGATTGCTTGAGCCCAGGAGTTCAAGATCAGCTTGGGCAACATAGCAAGACCCCACCTCTACAAAATATCAAAACTCTAGCCAGGCAGCCCAGGAGTTCAAGATCAGCTTGGGCAACATAGCAAGACTCCACCTCTACAAAATATCAAAACTCTAGCCAGGCATGGTGGTGTGTACCTGTAGTCCCATACTGGGGAAGCTAAGGTAGAAGAATCGCCTGAACCTAGGAGCTTGAGGCTATGGTGAGCCATAATCATGCCACTGCACTCCAGCCTGAGCAACAGAGTGAGACTCCGACTCAAAACAAAAACAAAATAAAAACTAGTGTTTAGTGAATGTCTCTTAGGTACAGGTCCCATGCTGGGTTCCAGAGTTCACAATCTAAAGGGAAAGTAAAATATAAGTAATTCCAGCAAAATGTAGACCATTCCAAAAGGTGATATAAAAGTAACAGGGGGGTTACCTAATCCTAAACCAGGGAAAGGGAGGACCAATTGGAGGTCCAAACTTCACCTGCATGTAGATTTCTTTT